ACTAGAAATGTTGGGCTCTTGCTATTTGAACCAACCATTTTATGGGAAAAGAAAAGTCTACAACATATGGAGTACACATAAACCTAACCGCATGATTTAGTCTGCTTTTCCACTGTGAGGAAGTTTAAAAGAAGTTACTCTTGTTTGATTTTATCCTGAGGAAATTCGTGGCTGACAGCTTTGGAGTTGAAAGAATATTTTAGCTATTTTATTAATGTAATATTTCATCCATTTTATAATCAATAAATTCTACATGAATGCCATATACGTGAATTGCAGATTAATAAGTTAATATAATAGTGATCTTCACAGTAATAAACACAACTTTTTCACAAGCGGTATAAGTGAAAATAAGGCCTGAAAAAAAACTCTTACTGTGAAGATCACTCACATATTTAGTTAATAAATGTAACATTTTTATTAATATTTCTATAATTAAGTGAAGATAATTTGATTGGCCTCATGGCTTTGATTGTTAGAAGTCAAAGCAGTAGCAGTCATTTCTGTTTAATACTGGCATGTTTAAATAATATTGTACTTTGTGATTCCATCAACTATCTGACACTTTAAAAATGTCCTCATCTATTAAATCTAAAGACATTTAAATGTAATTTTAAAACTGATTGTTACATTTATTTTCCTTAGCCTCCACAGAAGACAATGAAGAAGAAAAACGTAAAAAAAGTGAGTAACAAGATCATCCTAGAGCTATATCCTGGCTGTTCAATGATATTTCGGTTAATTATTGAATAATAAACCACTTAATAATTAATACCTAACCCTTAACCCTACCCTACCACATCCAAACACGCTCTCCAACTGGTGGCAATATTGAATTATTCCTCTTGAAACAACCTGGGATAATTTATCCAAGCCATTACAAACAACCAGGCTCTCTGTAATGTTTTTTTATTTGAGGATGTATCTATACATCCTCAGTTGTTGTGTGACATACCATAGGACATAATTATATATACGTCCTTGGTAGGGAAAAGATTAAACTCCCAGAAGTGGTTAACATGAAACTTTTCCCTAGAATATCCATATGTTACCCAGCAAGTGAGTCACGAGAATACTTGAACTTATCAAATAGAAGTTGTCATCTTGTTCTAACACCAAACTCTGGTAAATTATTTACAAGGAAGTGTGTGGCAACTAGAGAGGAAAATTAACAATCAGATCTTGGGACGCTGGGGAACCAACATAATTACCAGCTTCC